TAAGATATATAAAAACTTTCTTAAAATATCCTAGGAAATCCTTAAAAATTTGACTTTTAACAAATTCAAGCAGCCAATAGTATTATTATGATAACGAAACCATATATGTACTGCACATTTACATTTATATAGTGTGTATCCAGGACATTTATTTAGGCGAGAAATGTATATTATAATATTTGTATTTATATTAAATTACAAATATAATATTATTCTATCTACCTCGAGAAAAATCATTCTATCTGGAACTACTCTAGAGTCTATATCAAAAATATTTGTATTAAGTATATAGCCTATATATTGAATAAGTTATATTTTAAATAATTATCCTTCAAAACCATTACATAAATAAATAAATATAATTATTTGAATCATTTTGTGTTCTGCATTATTAAGAATCTGAATAATATATTATTTTTTCGTTACATATATTAGTAAAATACATAATAATCTATAATAAATCAAAGTCTGTACATGACAAAAGTGTTCGGATTACAGATAATTGCATGGCCTATATATTTTTGCTACATAAAGAAATTTAAGTAGGTCTTAGCAGAATTATCTTTCTTCATATATTATTGAAGAATATTTGTCTAAATTTAAAATTATAATATTCTTGAAAATAAGAATAATAAATCATTTTAATTTCAACTTTTTTTTTTATAAATTTCTAATTGTTTTACTTATTTTTTTAATCGTAATTAAAATATTAACATACCCTAGGTAATCTTTGTCCCAATAAACGTAGAGCCTGTTTCGTAATACATTTTTCGAATATTTATTTTTCTCATTCATAATTAATTTACTTTATTTTTACACCGAAAAATAAATATTTGTAAAGCTTATTTTCATATATAATTGATTAAATGAAGCTTGCTCTATTTATACAAATTAATTACTATTTAAAAACCTTGGAGTTTAACATTACATAAAACATCCAGTTCAACATTTTGAATACGTGAATTAACTATTTGATAAGCTCTTAAATTGTTGAAACCGGTCGGACAAGTTGGTTGCAGGACATTCTATTATATATTTGCACTTTTGCTTCCTGATGAATCGTGGAATTATTTCCCCACTTTCTACCGGAAATGCGTCATTTTAGCATCTTTGTTAGTCAAGAATCTCGAATTTAAATTGTTGTTTTGGTCTTACATACATCTTTACAAAATAATTTTTTTTAATTTTTATCTATAATGAATATTTAAGGAATAATCTGTTAGAAGAGAATAACATTTTAATTGCATTTGGATGAATTTTGGAATTAAAATTAAGCAATTAAATACATATCTCTTCAGGCATCTTATTATTAAATACAATTAAAAAGCATTTAATAATCTGTTTGTGTTTTTTAAAGATATTTTTTATATGATTTACTTGCTAGGTTACGGAATAAAGATAAGGATTTCTACATTTATCACATAATTTTCAGTGATCAAACTTACAAAATGACCTCCTATATAGAAAATTGTCATAAATTTAAACTGGGGTTCAAGCAGTTGTTTTTTTTTTTTAATTATTTATAAAATATAATTTAAATATTTAATAAAATCTCATACATTTATTTAAAATTTAAATAAATAAAATAGAATATTTAATACAAGATATAAAGTAACTTATGGTTATTACATAGGAATTTTATTATATGGTTATTTCGTCGAGAATTATTTAGTTTCTAAATTATAAAAACTGCAATTCAACATAACCGAAATCAGTTCTGAATGATATAGTTTCAGATAAATTCATAAAAAGCAGTTTTATAAAAACTTATTCATTTTGAAATTAAGATGTTATTGCATAACTGTTTTGCACGCAATTAACAGATAAATCGAGTTATTACTCAGATAAAATAGTTTATATCGTATTACGTCACCTCATTTCAAATGAAATATTTCAATATTTGATTTTTAAATAAGTTTTTTTTGTAAATAAATTTTACAAAAAAATTAAATTATTCATTCATTTTTGTATAAAGTACTGTACATTATAATTCAGTTATTCTTTTTATTTATTATTACAAGTGTATATATTATATTAAAATATTTATATTAATATTATAAGTACTGATATAAATATTTTTTGTTAATATTTTTATAAGCTAATAATGTTAACAAAAATGAATTTTATACACTTAAAACTACTTAAAACTTGAAAATTATTATTATTTTTATTTTAAAAGTGAAATAATTGAAGTCTTTAAAATCCTAAATAATTATTTTAAAGAAACTTTTAGCGATTTTCGTACTTAAAATTAGTTAATTTATTTTAAATATATGTGTATATTTTCTTTCGAATTAAAATTATATTTATTAATGTTACTTTTCAGAATTGATTTGTAAAGATTTTCAAATAAAATATGCCTTCTGTGTAATCATGTAATCACTTTTTTATCCTGTGATATTATTCTCTAAACTGATTTAAAACTTTAATGATCTTTGTATTATTTACTTACTTCCAAACAAAATTATCAGCACAATTTATCTAACTCAGTCTATAGACATATCTGCTTTTTATCATTAAATATTACAAGATATTTTATTATAAATAACGTTTTAAGTTTTATTTTAAGATAAAAATCAATTTTATATCGTTTACACTAAACTTAAATCTAATATTTTGTTACTAAATAGCCATAAGAACAATCATATGCCTAAGTCTTATTCACTACTTTATCTTACATGAAGATCTGTATTTTTTCCCCTCTATTATCTGCATAGATAAAAGTTCTTTAGAAGTGAGAGTGTAAAACAATAATAGGAAAAATGTATTATACCCATTGTGGAACATATGTTACGGGATTTATTGTCAGTATATCTAAGAAACCACCCTCAAAAAATTAACTTCCTTTTAATGAATAAATTGTCTTTTTTTAAGAAGAAAAACTTGGTGTGTTTTGGATAGCAATACCTGTTGCCCCGACCTAGATCAGGTGCTGGTAATAACTTCCGTTTCCAGTATTAGAAACGAAAAGTCAAAGTATCATCACATAAATATAGTAAATTTTTGATAAAAATCGTTTTCCTTCATTAAACCTTTGTTCAGATATAATGAAAGCATTAAATTGTTCAGATGTTATGTCAAATTAACCAAATCCTGTTCACGAATTAGGACAAAGTCTACGTTTTAAAAAAAAATAAGTCAAGTTTTTGATATTGATTTCTGTCAGAGTTTTCTTCGTATTACACAAATATATACAGTATATATATATAGTAAATATATAGCTATAATAATTTCACTGAAAAATATATATTAATTTTAATGTTTCCGTTTAAAAAAAAAACTTGAATAAATTATTACGTAAAAATAATTTTTTTTTGTTTTTGAAAATGGTTTTGACTAAATAACTTCTGTAGTTTACATAAGAATACTGTTGAGAAATAGATGATGTAAATAGTAAATAATGTGGACGGATCGAATCGTAGATTATGTTGAAACGATCTATGAAAACTCTGTGAAATCTTAGTAAGAACTGAATAAAATAACGATCTTTATTTTTAGAAGTTTCTTTGACAGATTTCTATACTTTTATAGCTTATTTAACGACAACATCGCTATATATTTGTGGTTTTTAAACAAAAAAAAGTCATATCAATCAATCCTTATTCAGCCTATCATCCCAAATTAAACTAGACTTAATGGAATGCAAAATCATTAACAATAAAGGAATATGTGTAAATTGAATAAATGCATGCAAATTAAATAATAATAATATTGAATCAATTGTTGGCTGTAAACTTTACTTTCTGAAATACATAGTTAGCTATATCAAGTTTTATATAGAAATAAATGTAGTAAATAAATAATGAAATAAATGAGAATTTAGAACAGCTTGTCGTAATACTACGTTTTCTATTTATTGTTATTGATTCGATTTTTTCGTGTAGAAAGTTTCTAGAAATGAAGTTTACACTCCAGAAAGATCTTCACATACTGTAGGCCTACAAGAAACAGCAATGTAATGAAATCATACACTTATATTTATGCAAGATTGTTAGAAAAGCAGTATTTTGTAGGATGTACTCGTAAAATATACAGTTTCTTTTTCCTTGTAAAGCAGAATTTTTTCTATAGAAACAGTAATGCATAATGGCATAAATTAGAAAAATTTTTGGAAACATTTAGTTGTTTATTTATTAATAACAATAATAAGTAACAAAAGAGTAATTCTCTAAAAAAGTAATTTAAAATATAATCTCCTTAAAATGAATTTTTATATATTTTGTAATGTATATGAATACTAAAATGTGTATGTTTAATTCTTAAAAGTATTAGTAAATCGAACGATTATTTATGCAGTGGATCAACTGTCATTTTATATAGCCTATGTATTAAAATAATTTGTAGTTATCTATCATGGTTATTGATTAGATATTTTTAATTAATTTTATATGATAATTTTTCGCAAATAATAACGAAATTTCGTTCAGTAGCCTCATCTATTAACTTTTAATAATATTTCACTTAAAAATATTCAATCAGTGAAACTAAATAAAATGTATCTGAGCTTTTTGTGCTAAATCACTTTGACTAGTTACAATCATCATTTATTTCATAAACGATGAGCTAAGTAGTGAGAATGCTTCAATTACTATTACTAATTTTAGGAAAACTAATTTCATTATTTGAATAAAAAAAAAATTATAATTTATACAGTTTCATTGAATATAAGACTTTTAAAAGCTAACTTATAGTATTTTAAATTTTTCAAAATTATCATTACATTAAAGACAGAAGGGAAAATAACATACAGGCTATTAAAGAATCATATAATACCCTTATAAACATTTAAAATAATTATATTTTTTTATTATAGCGTTGAATTGTGTATTTTATTAAAAATCACACAATGCTATATTTTTAATCATATTTAACAATTATTATTATTTTTTTAAGCTATTGCTTGATATAATTCATTGTATTTAAATATTTGTACATTTAACATTTAAATTATTGTAATTTTTCAAATTAAAATAACCATTTTAATTCAAAAAGTCTTAAAATTTATTTAGAAATTTATTCTTTAATTGAAATAACATTTACATCTTTATTTTTTAATGCCTCAGATGTCGATTTGATTTTAGTTTCTTTACATTTTGCACATAACTCGTTTTTTTCTTCGACATGCAATAAGTGTTTTACCATACTCTTTTGATTTCGTAAAAATTTTCCACATATGTAACAAATATAATAACGCAGCTCTCTTAGAATTTCTCCATTTCGTTCAAATACTGTTATTAATTTTTCGTCCATAGATGCCTGTATAAAATACTTCGTTTTGAAGAGAAATTTATCACATAATTTGCAATTAATTGATTCTGTAATACTTTTGTGTAAAGAAGGTATAACCATATCCGAATCATATATTCGCAGTTCAATGTCTTCAGGGAGGACGTTGCAATGTGGACAAAGCACTTCGTCTTTTTGCACATGTTTGGCAATATGATAATTAATTTCTATTTCTTGTAATATTTCGTAACAGATATCACATACGTAAAGTGAATAACGGAAGACTTTATCATTCAAAGATGTCTTGAACTGAAATGCTCTGATCGTCTCCTCTATCACAGCATTCTTCTTACAATACATTTTCTTACATTTTCCACAAATAACGTCTTTCGACTGCACATCGTATGATTTCGTTTTATCTATAATTGCCTTTTCTATTTCTATAACAGATTCTTTTCTAATTCGTTCACTCTCGAATAAGTTTTTAACACATTTAAATAACTGATTGAAATTATTATTTTTTGTTTTTAATGTTAATGATGAATATGTTGGTGAAGATAATTGACTGGTCAGTGATTTATCGGGATGAATATGTAGTGATTCATCTGTACAACCTAAAGAAAATAATTATTTAATTAATCATAATACATCGCTTTTGCCTGTTTGTATTCAATTATTTTAAGGTAGTATGTATTATAGTTTTGTGTTTACATTAAAATAGCTATAATAATTTATAGTTTATTAGCACTGTTGTATACTTTATTAAATAATTTAACTTTATTATTATTTAAATAAAACATTTTTCACGAATAGTATCATGTGACATTGTAATTAATGTGTATAAATGCCAATTATAGTTCATAATTTAGAAGCATTTAATGCAAATATTTTAAATTGATGATCAATCTTAATTTTTGACATAGAAGAGTAGTATTTTTCATAATCATTGAATTTATACGAGTTTCAAATTTAATAGTTGTTGTTATAGTTAAGTTAAATAATTTTCCGGCGGGAGATACAGTAGCTATGAACTTTATAAAATGAAAAATCGTAGTATACAGAATTATTAGCATATATCTATACCTGGGACAGCCACATTTAGATTTATCTTAGCTATTTGGAGATCATTTTCATCCTTTTGTTCGGCAGAAGTATCTTTTTTATCTTGAGCTGTTGAAATTTCAGATTTATTTGTTATGTTCTCAAGAATATTGTTATTATCTTCCAATGCTTTTTCATTTAACGATTCATTTGCTTGATATTTTTTTTCTATTTCTTTTTTATCAAAATTCATTATTATTTTATTCTCATTTGAATAAAAATATTTTAGAATTATAATCTAAAATAGAAATGATAATTTATATCAATTTAAACAATTGCACAGGTAAACAAAATATTTTCTACAATTTTATTTTAAAAAATAAACAAGATGTTAGATATACTTTTATTATATAAGTTCAAACAACTCCTTTATTTTTTTTTTTTTTTAATCTCTTAATTAATAAGGATTTGAATTTGCTTCTCGAAATCGAATCGCATTGTCATTTACAAAATTGTTCAAAATTTTGACCATCAAGGGCGATCCTACAAGGGAATTGATCACTCAAACACTCAAATTATCGATGAAAAATCATGAAGTTTCTATCAAGCTATCACATGCTTGGGATCAGCTGAATGGCTTCATATTAAAGGATTTCTTACTTATTACAGAATAATTTGCTTATTATTTGCCAAATATAAGTTTTGAATAAATAATTGGTTGCAAAATTATTGGTGAAAAAGTGAGAAAAATAGTTCATAAATATTTCAGAACATTAACGAATACTAACAAGAATTTCTGCATGATCAAACAAAACATTAATGAAAATGAAAAAGAATAAACGAAGTTCAAAACAAAATAACGAAATATAACAAAAATGTGTTTATTAAACATTGCAAAATAATAATATAAAATAATGCTGATAAGAATGTCAAATCAAAAAAAAAAAAAAAATGTTGCTCAATTTTCAGAGAGGAATGTGTGGACCCACTTTCTGAAAACTAGATTTAACTTAATATTTAGTCTATATATAAGAATTGGGTTAAAAATGTGCAATATTTTAGTGTAAGAATTTGATTAAAAATCTTTTAAAAATACATTGACTAATAATCCTGTGAATTATTTTTGTAATTGTACAAAAGAAAGTAATAATTTTGTTAATAAACCACATTATTCGTAATAAATTGCAGTTTTCGTTGGGTTGTTACATGTTATCTGTCACATACAGCTTCAATTATATCTAATTTTTATAAACGTATGTAATTTAATTTCCACAAAAATATTTTGATATAAAATATATTGTGAACATCTTTTATTTCAGTACAAAACTAAAAAATAGAGAAAAATAGAAAATTTCAGCTATTTTCTATACATGAGATTGACTCATTTATTTACAAATTTTTGCCATTAAATACTAAACTATGTGAAATAAAGAATAAAAGCAATTTGTGTTTTTTATAAAAAAAATACTCCGCTTCATCTTCTAGTGGCATCTTTTAACGCTTACAGCGATAAAAAAAACCCATACTATCCCATCGCTATTAAATTCTTTACACTTACAGTGTAGAAAGTTTAACAGAAATCAATATTTATAATTAAATACTCTTTAATTTATTTCCACTTACTTCTTAAGTCTATTTATTTGATCTGCATTATTAAGACACACAATGTATTCAAAGAAACATGTTTATATTATTTCACAACGTTATTATTATGTCAGTTTTTGAATTTGCCTATTCAATTATTAAATTCAACACGTAATGTTTATTTACAAATATTATTTGCCAGTAAATATAAAAGGTAAAACTCTTTAAACATTGTATTAAAAATTTTAACATGATTCATATTTTTGATATTTTATTTCAAATATTTGATCAAAATATTTCTTAATGGCTAGAGATAAGATAAATAACTAAAGATAAAAGACTACTCAATGTACAGTATACTACGTGGACTACAATATACTACATGATGTAGACTAAAACATCGCACCACGCTAAATTTTGCTTCTGCTACATATTAGATGAATATAAATATGATTGCATGAGAGTATAGGTAATCTGTAGTGAACTATTCAGTGGCGTAATCACCACGCACTCCTGACTCTTCTTACAGGACCAAATCCTATCTCGATTCCTGTGAAAAATAACGCACAGTTTAAATTACAGAGTCGTAAGGAGTCTCAAAATTAGCATAGAAAGTTATATATCCGGTTAAAATACTTGAAGGGAAACGGTTGGACAGCGTTAAAAATGGGTAGGGAAATTTTGAGGCTTCTCTTTATGGCCTCGTGTTCACAAGACAGCCAACTATGTAAAGGCGGATTTACACTAGGACTGAGGTGGCAACCTTTTTTAAGTTTGAATAGCCAAATCTATGATGCAAAATTTTCTCACCTGTCAACTGAAATTTTTGGGATTTAATATTATTACTTGGTGTCTTTTAAGTATTGAGAGAAACTTTTCAAATAATAGAAATTCATATATACAGTCGACCCCCCTATAACGCGGGTTCATATAATGCGGATTCGTATATCGCGGCGAAAAAATTGCGACCGTATTCGTATAAAGACGCTAAAAGAGACTCGTAAAATGTGGTAAAACGTCATCGCCGACTCGTGTCGCGACAGGATTGGTCGAATCTGGACCAATAGTGGACGAGCAGCCGAACTACTTACACGCTACAGAAAGTTTAGGCGGGTAAGTTGAGTTTACTATCGTCTGTACAGTATATAAATTAGGTACTGTAAGTCTAATATAGTACTGTAATTTTATACATTTCTTGTGAAAAAAACATTTCTTATTCAACGGTCATAAAAATTATTTCTATTAATTAATTAATGATGTCTCCAAAGTTTAGCGAATTTTTCGCAGAAAAATAACTTATCAGAAAACGCGCCCGCCGTTCGATGCGCTGCTCCGCGACGAAAATAAGCTTAAGCAATGGCGTCGTCGAACGGTGCACACTCGGTAAGTAATCCTACAATTTATTTGTTTATAGCATAGTTTATACGGATTATTCCCAAAAATTTATACGTGTTTGGAAATGTTGAGTCAAATTAGTCTAGGATCGATTAATTTTATGGAAGAAAACCTTTTAAACAGCCGTAGTCCGTAAACTGCACACGTGCCGGGCTGTGATTGGCTCATGTATTTAAGGATTCCTACAACGTGAAATTCTTATAAAGTGGAACGTATCTACCAGGTTATAGGGAAGGTCGAGTGTATATTCACTTTATAAAACCGATACATTTTTACGGAACATGAAATATATAAAAAGCTGTTGGATATTTATTTTTTAACATGCGCCCTGGGTACCGTGCCGGAAAAAAGTCATTGATGTGCCACGTGCCAAGAGTTGTCAACTCCTGTACTAGGACTGTCACACCAGTCGAAACCATCCACCAGACTTAATGGGCGGACGGCAAAATGGCAGGTGCATGCACACTAACCAGTTCAGTTTCGAAACGTCATAAATCTTGACCAATGAGATACACTTTTACGTACAGTACGCATACCTTTCTTCCTTTACTAAGATTCGTTAAAATATTTGCTTTCCGTTTTATTAAACTTCTCTGTTTTAACTTTTGTTCCAGTCATGATAGGCTACTATAGCTACTGTATGTGCCAAATCGTTAAAGATATATGTAAGAATGTGATATATGCAGTGATGACATTCGAAATATTTAACAAAGGGTTCGCTAACAGAAAATTTTTTCTTAACAATTTTTTTTTTTTCGCTCAAATGGTGCATCGGAAGGCTCTAGTTTAGTAGTGTTACAGAGTATAATATTTCAATATTTCAATATTTTTAAAAGAATCAAACCATTAAGAAATGTTACATGTGTTTAACAAGGTTCGAAAAACTTTGAAAATGTTAACAACGGGTTCGGCCGAACCTGTGCGAACCCTCTGAATATCACCACTGGATATATGTAATGAATGAGATTCTTTCACATATCAATGACTGTATGATTTCTCTAAGACAGCCATCATTCGATCGAATTTTTAATTGAATTACTCGTGAAGTCACAGGTATATGCTATAAAACTTCGAGATCTCACCATCTTTGGGAAAGACTTACTGATGAGTTTGTTGTTGTTGATTCCAATATACAGAAAATGTTCTGAGTTCCCCCGTGGCCGAGTGGACTCCGTCTTCGCTCCCTGCGTGGATCAGTCCCTAAACACTAGGCGTTCGGTCCGGGTTCGCGCCTCGCTCGGACGAATGACTCACCAGTGGCCGAGCGGTCTTCATCCTCGCACTTGAGTGGACTGAACACTGGAGTTCGGTCGTGGGTTCGCGTCTCGCTCGGACGGGCTGGGAGCATAGAGTTTTCCGGGTTTTCTCCATATCGATGACGCCTGAATAGTGGCCAGTTTCCCATAAAAGTCCTCCCGTAAGGCATTCTTTTCCCCCGAGCACGTTTAGCCGTTCTATAAGGCCGGCTCTTCGGTCGCCTAGCGATCAACCACAAGTCTCTCGGAGTAAAAGGCGAATAGCCACGACGCCCCATATAAACCGCAACCTACTGAAAAGAAAAGATTCTAAAGAACGTCGTACAGCGACCTAAAAAGTTTGTGAAGCACAGTTATAAATTAATATAAAATAAAGCATACGTAGTATGAATTTTATTCGTTCCAGACTTTTCGGACACCCGTAAATTTTGCGTGGTTGAACATTATTTTTGTTTGCGAGTTGGAAGTTTTCCTTGCAAGTGTATAAATAACAAACTTCTTGCACAAAAAAGTAATGTTGTTTCAGCAGTTAATCTCATTTTTGAATTTTTCCAGGAAAAAATACATCGAGTAACTTTTCTTTATGGCTCCTCCAAGTGCTAAAAAATGACCGCAAAAATAATGGCTTATATTTATATACAAGTAGCACATATCTTCCTAGCATTTACTGTGATAAAGTGGTAACGTTTGTGATATATTTTTTATTTGTATAGTATCTGTAGTTCAAAACATAAGAAAGAAATTTTTCTAATATTTTCTGAAGTTTTATAGTATTAAGGTGATTGTTTTCATGCCGTTTTGGAGAATTTTGTTACAGTTGTTAAAGAAGAAACAATACTTTCGTAAAAGGTATAAAGGATTCAAAATTTACTGTTTAATTTGGTGGTGATAACTTTATACACACTTTTCTAATTGCAATTTTCAACAATGTTAAATTTCATATAACTATCAGGCGTACTGGTCCTTCGGGACTTCGGAAATTCCCAGAAAAGCCTCTTCTATTGACCTTAAGGGCTTTCCCAAGTTCTAACTTTTCCAAGCAACAATGATAAAATTTCATGTAATTGTTTTAAGTTACAGGCTGTGGGGTTCTTGGGAAAGTGTGCGAATGAATGCCATCACTCGATAAGCAAAAGCTAAGGGAAGAGTTGTTATCTTTTGCATCACTATGGCTGGAAATAACGAAACTGATATAGCCCTGACGGAGAATGGGATTGGGATTGCAATGACATCAAAACCGATGAAACAGATCAGGTTCAGCAGCTATCATAAGTAGGGGGAGGTGGGGCAAGATGAGAACGTTAAGGTTTGAAAAGTCATAAGATGGCAACCACTTCGATGAGAACGATAATTTTTTTATTCTCAGCAACTACAACATGTGGTAATATATAATACAAAATTTAATTTTTGAAAAACGTTTTTAAAAACAAGAAAATTTAATATTTTAAAATTATATGTAAATGCACCATCTTGCCCCACCCGTGGGGTAAGATGGGGATATTATTTTTATATACAAGAAGGACAAATTAAAATGGTTTAACTGTCGTTTTCTTCAATATTGGCGCAAAAACAGTGTTCCCATTTATCACAACAGCTACATTTAGCCCAACTCTCTGTAGATACAGAGTATAACCCTCCACAATAGAGGCATTCTGTGCCATTTGTGTTTTGTTTCTTGTTAGGCCTACCCTTGCTGAAGGGGCCTGTTTGTCTTCTCTGCAGCAATAAAGTTGGCTTCCGCAAATACTTCTGGATTCATAGGCCATATTCATGGTCAATCTGGGGGTAGACGGGTACCCCATCTTGCCCCCAACGTACACTTATCATACTGACTGCAAACACATGTACAACTTCATTTCAAAACTAAACAATTACAGTCTTAAGGGTTACTCGAATACCATAACATCTTCGTGTAAAAGGTAATGTAAAAGTTCACAACGATACTTACTTTGTAGAAACTTTGTAGCTGGCATAAAATTAGATGAAGTATTGTTGAAACATGAAAAACGTATCTTGCTTCCAAACAAAAAGAGCGATTTGGACGTTCTCTTGCCCCATGATCCCTTTTGAGGTTGACATTTAGTTCCCCAAATAACAGCTAGATAAAATCATATTAACCGCAAATAAACAGGCGTCCCCGATACAATAAACAGGCTTACCCGATGACGCCATCTTGCACCACCTTCCCCTATAGATTGGCCATTGCATCAAAGAACGCAAACAATTGCTGCTTGTCATGGGTAACCTACTTAGAAAGCTGTACACGTATAATTTTTATTCTCTGAAATATAGAAATACATACAACGTTTACAAGTTACTTTTAACAATTGCACTCATTAAGTTACATGTTCGAGATTTTTATTGAAGCTAGACGGTTGAGAAGGTTCTATGAAAATCCTGTAGTGACCCAGCAAGCATTGCACTTGCGCTCGGCTGGGACGTTCGAACCTATATCACTGTAACTGGGAAAAGCCGATCCAAGCCAAAATGTTTTTGGTGTGGGATTCGCC